GTGCTGGGACACCAGCGTCCAGTGATGCTGTGCTGGGACACCAGCGTCCAGTGATGCTGTGCTGGGACACCAGCGTCCAGTGATGCTGCTGTGCTGGGACATCAGCGTCCAGTGATGCTGTGCTGGGACCAGAGTCTTGTGCTGTATTTTCCCTCCTAAACAGAAGTTAGATTCATTGAATACCGGTAGGTAGTTCTCGTTATGAAGAGTTTTTATTCCATCGTAAATATTTTTTATGAAAATTGAAAGACCGTCTGCGTGGTATGATATTTTAGGCCGTATTTAGGGGCCGTATTTAAGAGCCGTATTAGGCCGTATTTAGGGGCTGTATTAGGCCCCATTTAGGGGCCGTATTTAAGAGCCGTATTAGGCCGTATTTAGGGGCCGTATTAGGCCCCATTTAGGAGCCGTATTTAAGAGCCGTATTAGGCCGTATTTAGGGGCCGTATCAGGTCGTATTTAGGGGCCGTATTTAAGTGCCGTATTAGGCCGTATTTAGGGGCCGTCTGGCTCCTAAGATCTAATGTAAACAATGCATCAAAGCTAATGCTGCTCTCGATAACAATTCTCAATATATTCAGTTGGTATAACAACGTGAATCATAGAATTTGTAATTTTGCGTAGTATTTCATTAATGCTTTTCATGCAAATTTTAAGGTTAGGTTTGAACATTTGTTGTTCGAACTGTCTCCTGATTTACTATAATACTAATTCGGTGGTAGCTTGAAATATATTTAGTTGACTACATACTGTCCGAGTGATCTGTCATCTGTTAATAAAATAATCATGAAATTTATTCCTAACGATTGGCATCAGATTTTCTGAAGATTTTTCTTTTATTTTCTCTTTTTATTAGTTATCAATTATTTGTTATTATTTTTACACTTGATGGAGTTGTGTGAATGTGCACAGTGAAATGCATGTATTGAGACTGATTTTTTGCGCTAAATTTCTGGCCAAGAAATTTCGAATTTCTGCGCTAAATTTTATGCAATCTTGACGATGATTTACCATCTTCAGCTCTCAATTTTGCAATATGTGAACAAGAGAACTCGTGTTAATTGTAAACTGAAGTATTGTCGTGTCTCGTAAAGATGTTTCTTGTTCATTATCATTAGGTTCATACTTTATATTTATTGTTTAATTCTTGCTAAGCGGTACTGAAGTGAACAAATTTAATCTTCAATGAGGTCAGGATTTTGTAAATGAAACTTTGTAAGCAATGTTACGTAATCCGGAAACCCATTTGAGTTTAATTCCAGTACAGTGAAATGAACCCATAAATGCCGTCGTTTAGGAATAGGCTGATTGATGTTCTCTGTAAAATTGTGATTTTTCGTATCATGCGTCGAAGTGGATGTAAAAAAATGTAACTCAGTACTCACTGCAGTGAGTGACAGAGAGCGCATTTTCTCGTCGACGAAAATGTGAAGTCACGGACGGACAGACAGACGGACATGGCGATCACAATAGTGCATTTTTTCCATAAACGAGAAAATGCGCTAAAAATTTTGATGCAGCTCATTTATAAAATATTTTTATTATTAGGAATTTTCATTTTGTTTGTACATGTTAATTTGTTTTTACATGTTCAGGATTGTCTTAGGACACGTTTTGGACAAGCTTATTACATGTTTAGGTGAAGTTTTTTTTATGACTTATTCGTTGCATGTAAGTTTCATAGCGAGCGGTTTTCAAAGTATGACTAATGAAACTCTATTTTTTTATTTTTTCGCAATTGAAAATCATGTAAAAAAAGTTAAATATGTAATAAAGTACTAGCTTTGATTTCAGATATCTGTACCCACAAATATATATTTCTTAATGTATAAAGGCAAGTCTAAAAGTTGTTAGGAAAGTTTCATCGACTTCAAATAATAAACATAATTCAATCACGGCATGTAATAATTTAAGTAATAATATTGACGAATGTGTTAATGAATATTATTTTCTAGTATGGACTGCTGAAATTAAATGAGCATTTAAAAAATTATCGTCTTCTGTGCACTGATGGTAAAATTTTTAATAGGTTAAAGTATGAACTATTTATGTACAATTGGAAAATCATCTTCTATTATAGACCATCGGCGAAATTTTGAACGTGCGTAACCATTTATTCGTAATGTGTGCGAAGTGCAAGTGTTCTAAGATCATAGCAAGAAAATGGAATGAGTATTAGATTGAAAAATATTTCGTTTTTTAGCTATTCACTTTTTGTTTGTTTAATCTATTGAGTTTATTTTGTAGCTATTCCTTGGTGTCAATGCGTGAGTACCCAGACATGATATTTTATTTTCATTTCATTTAAGTTCAATTATAAATATTCCTTGCATGTTCAATTTATTTAAGTTTGTTTACATTCTCTAACGTGCCTGCTTTGGGACCTGGTTTCTTCATATTCCCAACGCAATTATGTTTTATAATTATCAAGATTTTGTATATACAAAGTTTTGTCTGTATTTTCAGTTTAATTTTTGGTATTTCACCAGATTAGAAAATATTGTATTCATTTTTCTGTCATCTTGTGTGTTATACCTACATCATGCTGAAGTAATGAAGGCATGGAAAATTTTTATGCATGAATTATATTATATTCTTCCATACTCTTCTTCCGCATTTATGTTTTGTTAATTTAATGAAAATAGGATTAGATTTTGGAGGGAACGTAAGTTTGTCACGAACCTTGGGAATTTATTTTAAATAGAACATTTCTTCCGTGAATATTTTAAATTTTAACCCGCGTGTCCATTTTGCTTATCCTGAGATCATGCCTGATGTTTCTGCTTTTTTTACGCGAATTGTGAAAATCTTTCAGAAAATCAGTACAAAAACAACGTAAAAAGATCACTGTCGATATTGAAACTTGGTATTATATTTGAGCAGCAAACGTTTCTAAGTGTTAAGTGGAATATTATTTAAACAATAAATATAATATACATGTAATCTCATTCTCTTTTGTTTGCATTGCTAGAACATGTCTTCATTCCGCCTTATTAGCTGAGCGAATAATCGTTTATAAATCAGCAAACGTTTATAAAAAAATAAATCAGCATGATTGACTATTATCAAGTTTATGCAGACCACCATAATTTCATAAATAATAATTACCACGAATTATTAATCACATTTGCTGTAATCACAATGCAAAACAACATAAACACGTTAATAATCCGCCATATTCGTCGAGGTTATGTAAACACAACTGACATCGCTCCTCCTCCTAAGTAGCATATGTCGCCTTCCTCAAGTCAGCCAAATTTCTAAATTTTTCCAAATTTGTTGCGAAAAATCGGAAAAATGTACGAAAATATTAAACGATTGTGTTGAGATGAATTTTTTTATTGATTGTTTCCAAAGGTACATTTAAGAAGTGGTTATGTAGGCATGTCAGTAGTTGGGCCAAGTTGTTGAAGAAAATTCATCTGAGAGACATTCAAGTTTAATGAAACCATCTCCCAACGAGACCATACATTCCATACATTCGAGACCATCTGAATTCATAGCTGCATCGCAGTTTAATATTCAACTGTTTTTGAACAGACATTCACTATTTAAATTTTTTTAATGGCTATACGTACAACTTTTTTCTGGCACAGTCACGACTGTTCGTGACGTTTTATGGTTTAAAACGTGGAGCTGCATTCATTCTTTCGGTGACACGAATATGACTGTACGAATTCGTTTATTCAGTTTCACGATTATTAGTGTACGAATTCGTTTATTCAGTTTCACGATTATTAGTGTACGAATTCGTTTCTTCAGTTTCATGAATATTAGTGTACGAATTCGTTTCTTCAGTTTCACGAATATTAGTGTACGAATTCGTTTCTTCAGTTTCACGAATATGAGTGTACCAATTCATTCCTTCAGTTTCATGAATTTAAGTACGAATTCGTTACGTCTGTGGTACGAATAAGAGGTAAGCTTGTTACCTATTTTACAACCACCCCGGTAACTTCACCCAGCGCGGAACTTAATTAAATTGCCTCGCCTAAAAGTGAATAAATTTCTTCTTTCTTTTCCTAAAGTGACCAATATTTCCATGCTGGTTTCCATGTCCAATCGAAGATACTCAACTTGTCTACAATAATTAATGGATATTAGACTTTCCAGTGGATTTCTACACTCTTCACGTATTTAATCATCGATAATTAATAAAGAAAAATCTATCTTCTGTAGATAACGTTCATAATTATCATTTGAGAGTTGGGAAACGATAGATTTGAGTTGAAAATACAAATGTATTTTTTCATAGTAAGGAGTGGTATGAATAATTTAATATATTTCGCTATTGTAGTTTTATGCCTCGTATATTCAGTGCTGCTGCGCAATGAGACTCCACATTTAATTATTGTGTCTCTAAATAATAATAAATAATAAATTAGCCTTCATGCATTCATGGAGCCTTCATGCATTCATGAAGCGTTCATGCATTCATGAAGCCTTCATGCATTCACAGGACGGATGACGTCGATGATGAATGAAGTCTCCAAGCCTTCATGTGTCTGGGGCACAGGTTAATAGTTCACTGATGGGAAAATAAATTAATTTGAATTTGCCATAATTTTTCATTTTCCTCTTCAGTGTTCTGCACCTTGATCCAAATTTGTTGATCAATGGAAATTATCAATCAATTTATGACATGGCTCCACGTAAATGGCAATGATCCATCCACATCTGTGTTTTTGAAATAAAAGGGCATTTTAAAAGTTTTAATTAAATTCTTATACAAACTGTAATGCTAAGAAAACTTACATTGATTTTTGAAACTAATCTCGTTGTGTTTATAAACGCCAGTCGCGTGTGGAAAATCAAGTGCGGCTGAAAATTTTATTCAAAGAAATTATTCCCTTTAAATGTTGAAACGGCAGTTGCCTGGGAAAAATCAAGTGTTGCATTGAAGAGTAGTTTCTTTAACTAACCCAGCGTCATTTGTATGTATTAATTATGACATTCTCGAATCTCTTATAGATTACCGATAACAAAAGTAATTTTATTGTAACAAATTACTCATTCTCCATATTATTCACATTACTGGAACTTGTACAATGTATACATACATATCTTAGCTGTGTTTAGTCAGTCCTGTTACTTGCTATAGTGCTGATCCGCTGTCGGGTTGTGTGAATTATTTTTATATAAAATGTGTATGTATTGACTGGACACAAGTGCGTGAAATGTGTATGGCAAACAGGATGACAAATTTTAAATTCAATTTTAGATTTAAATTTCAATTTAGGTTGTCGTCCGAGGTATATAAAACAATATTGAGGTAGCTCATGAATTGCATATAATTGACGACTCCGGGGTAAGTAATTGGTGTTAGAATAATTGAGTAATATTGGCTAAAATATTTTGTTTAAGGTGCATATAACCCGATCTATGAATATAAATATATATCGATATATAAATATAATATATAAAAATAAATAAATATAAATATATAATGGTACTTTTAGATATTTTTTTAGGGTGCATTTAACCAGATGTAATTCACTGTTACTAACAAGCTGCAAATAATTGTTAATGTTCGGCGTTTTCCCCTCAACTTTAACGGCATTCCCGCTACGAAAATAATGAATAAAAATTGTGATAACCTTGACAGATAAGTGAATCGATCGAGTCAACGATTAGTCTCAAGATTTATGTGACTATAAATTTAATCACAATATTTGCGGCATAAAACAGGAAATGCGTTATAAAAATTTCTTAATTGTATGTACGCACTGCATTCTGCCGAGTTAATTGGTCTCGATCTCGTCAATAAATAATATTCTACTGACATTAATATCATAAATAACATTCAACTATCTCGATCTCGTCTATAAATAATATTCAACTGATATTCATTATAAATGAATATGCTAAAAATTCACCAGTCCATTTTATTGTGTATTAAACTGGTATTCTCTACTAATGAGAATGTGCGAGAAATTCAATCTGTTCTTCATTAAAACCATTATACTACTGCTACTTCATTTAAACCATTATACTACTACTACTACATTTAAACCATTATACTACTGCTACTTCATTTAAACCATTATACTACTACTACTTCATTTAAACCATTATACTACTGCTACTTCATTTAAACCATTATACTACTACTACTTCATTTAAACCATTATACTACTACTACTTCATTTAAACCATTATACTACTACTACTTCATTTAAACCATTATATTACTACTAATTCATTTAAACCATTATACTACTACTACTTCATTTAAACCATTATACTACTACTACTACTACTTCATTAAAACCATTATACTACTACTACTTCATTTAGACCATTATACTATTACTACCTACTTCATTAGAAGTGAGCCAACCCAGAAAGCCTCTCGACGCTGCTGAAGTTCACGCCAAATTCGTGCGTATTCGTGCTTATTAGTTTTTCGTTAAATACTGCTCAGTTTTTCAGTAAATTCTTTCAGTTTTTTCGTAAATTCTTTCAGCATTTCAGTAAATACTTAATGGCATTCGAGTAAATTCTTTCAGTATTTCAGTAAGTACTTCTCAGTTTTTCAGTAAATACTTATAAGTGTTTTAGTAAATACTTATTGGTGTTTTAGTAAATACTTCTCAGTATTTCAATAAATATTTATCAGTATTTCAATAAATACTTATCAGTATTTCAGTAAATACTTATCAGTATTTCAGTGAATATATATCTGTATTTCCTTCTGTTCTTCTTTATTTAATTTAATCTAAATTGGTCCACATAAAATTTCATTATATAACCCAAAAGTGTTTTTAAGCTTTATTCCTTTTCGATTGTTTTGTTGATAAAATTGTAGAGGATTAAATTCTATAATAAATACGAAGTTAGCATATTATGCTATAGAGATAAATAGAGTTAGCATACACATGGTGAACCCCTCATGCCAGTACACATGGTGAACCCCTCATGGCAGTACACATGTGAACCCCTCATGGCAGTACACATGGTGAACCCCTCATGACAGTGCACATGTGAACCCCTCATGGCAGTACACATGGTGAACCCCTCATGACAGTACACATGGTGAACCCCTCATGGCAGTACACATGGTGAACCCCTCATGGCAGTACACATGGTGAACCTGTCTCTTATACACATCTAGATGTGTATAAGAGACAGCCTCATGGCAGTACACATGGTGAACCCCTCATGGCAGTACACATGGTGAACCCCCCATGGCAGAACGCCCCCCTCTATACCGACCCCCTGACCCCGGCTCTGCTATTGGTCGAGGCTGCAATTAAAGCCACGCTTCCTATTGGCTGGGGAGACTGCAATTAAAATGGTAGACTCGATCGTGCACACTCAAAAAAATTACTAGAACTTTGTCCAAATAGCGATCTAATTATGCATTTGTGTGGGTCATCCTGACCCAGATTTGCCAGGAAAAAGGGGCATTAGCGTTATGTGCAGAAAGTGTGTCACTACCTTGAATATGACCAATAAATTTTATGGGTTCGCTTTAACTAACCATTTAAACGATCATTATTTTGATAATATATGTCCATGTTTACTTAACTATCTATTGTGCTATTATTATTACAAATAATTCAAAAAGTTATAAATAGACAATTTTATTAGATGCGTAAATTTACGCCCATAATGCCTTTTGGTTTATTCGTCATTCTCGTCGATTAGTTCTTGGTATATGCAATCATTCACTATTTGATAGTTTTATTTAATTTATTAAATTATCTGCGCACTTTCAGTGCGCAGATAATTTAATCGTTTGTATTTTTCTGTTATCGTCGATGAATCATAAAAAAATTGTAACACGTTCAGTCCAACTGGATACACGGAATTGAACCTATTATTTTTATCAAATTTTGTTTCAGTCAACGTGAAATTTTCGAGAAGTTTATCCAATCATATTTATTAATTTAGTTTTCAACAATTCCAATTAGTTGAATGAATCCCGTAAATTTTGTTATAATTTTAAGATATCGTTTATTCGTTGATAAACAGCTCATTTCTGCATGATAATATTGCCGGAAAATTATAACGATTCGCGTAGAAATTGTACAAAGGGTTCGATCGCGCGGAAATTATACAAACAGTTCGCGCAGAAACTATACAAAGGGTTCGATCGCGCAGAAATTATACAAACGGTTCGCGCGGAAATTATACAATTGATTTGCGCAGAAATTATACAAATGATTGGCGTAGAAATTATACAAATGATTCGCGTAGAAATTATACAAACGGTTCGCACAGAAATTATACAAACGGTTCGCGCAGAAATTATACAAACGGTTCGCGCAGAAATTATACAAACTGTTAACGCAGAAATTATACAAACAGTTCGCGTAGAAATTATACAAACAGTTCGCGTAGAAATTATACAAACGGTTCGGGTAGAAATTATACAAACGGTTCGGGCAGAAATTATACAAACGGTTCGCGTAGAAATTATACAAACGGTTCGCGTAGAAATTATACAAACGATTCGCGTAGAAATTATACAAACGGTTCGCGCAGAAATTATACAAACGGTTCGCGTAGAAATTATACAAATGATTCGCGTAGAAATTATACAAACGATTCGCGTAGAAATTATACAAACGGTTCGCGTGGGGAGACTGCAATTAAAATGGTAGACTCGATCGTGCACACTCAAAAAAATTACTAGAACTTTGTCCAAATAGCGATCTAATTATGCATTTTTGTGGGTCATCCTGACCCAGATTTGCTAGGAAAAAGAGGCATATTTGCAGAAAGTGTGTCACTACCTGAACAATATGACAATTAATTTTCTGGGTGTTTTTACTAACCATTTTTGTCCGGTGAACGATCATTATTTTGATATAAAGATTGATTATTTGATTATATTAAGTTCAAGGTTATGCAATTATTGACTGTGCTATTACTAATATAAATAATTGCAAATTTTGTTATTGGATAATGTTATTAGAAACGCAATTTTACGGTTATTGTGCCTCTTGGTTGATTCGTCATTCACGTCTATTATAGTGTTTGGTATATGCAACGATTCCCTATTTGATTGTTTTATTTAATTTATAAAATTATCGATGCACTTTCTAAATTTTCTAAATCTTATCAACATGATCATTTCACACAAACGGAGCATAATAGTTAATTGAAGTTACTTGATAATACCGGTACGCCTTATAGTTATTTTCAATCATTAATAAACCTTACTTATTTTCAGTATTTCAATAATGTGGTAACATGATCGGAATATTTCAAATTCAACATATTCATTTTTCTATAATTAGAAACATAGAAGTATAATTTCGCTCTTTCCATGTTGAATGTATTGACTGAGTATACATGGAAAGGTTAAGAATTTTCCTATACCTGAAAATCTTCACCGTTATTGATCTTTATTTTTGCTTGCACCTTTACAGTGAGTGGGCAATTTTAAGTCTTTCAGATATCATCCTTTGCGACAGCTTATTAACATATATGCGTTTAAGGTGGACATCGAAAAAAGCAAGCGACTGTTATTTTTCTATTGCAGAACAAACGTACAAACCAATTGTATTTTACTGTTAGCTTCGATGAATCATAAAAATTTTTTAGCACGTTCAGCCCAACTGGATACACGGAACTGAACCTATTATTTTTATCAAATTTTGTTTCAGTAAAAGTGAATTTTTCGGTAAGTTTATTCAATCATCTTTATTAATTTAGTTTCCAACAATACATAAGTAAATTGAATCCCGTTAATTTTTCTGTAATTTTAAATTAAATATCGTTTTCTTTATTCGTCGATAGATAACTAATTTTTTGCACGATAATATTGCCAGAAAATTATATAGACGGTTCGCGTAGAAATTGTACAAACGGTTCGCGTAGAAATTATACAAACGGTTCGCGCAGAAATTATACAAACGATTCGCGTAGAAATTATACAAACGGATCGCGTAGAAATTCTATAAACGATTCGCGTAGAAATTATACAAACGGTTCGCGCAGAAATTATACAAACGGTTCGCGCAGAAATTCGCCAGCCGGCGACCCGCCAATCAAAGGAAGTTATATTCGTGTCATTTTACTGTAGGCTGTTATTACGCGGGATTATTAAGGATGATTGTCAGTAATTTGTCGACATTTTGAGGGTTGATAATCGGCGCATGGATGTGAACACTACGGCGAATCATCGGCGATTTTTCAGTGGCCGTCCATTGTGATAAGATACGCGACCGTAATTTCTACAAGTAATAATCGTCTGGATCGACACGGCGCTCCATATGCGGCAATCAATCCCTCGTATATGCGATTTTTCTTCGCTTGGAAAATTATCGTTCAATCAATTGATCTTTGCTTGTTATATACAAACTATGTCTAGACGCGCGAATTCTACCTTCTTTTATTGAATAACTTGAATTTTGAATTATGTTGAGACATTCATTTATGTTGCATATATAATTAATTATGAATGTTATATAATTTATTGATTTTGACCCTAGATTATAATTCTGTACGATGGCTGTCTTCATTTAATCAATAATGAGCTTCATAGCTTCAAAAAAGACTTATTTGAAATTGTGCCCTCCAATACATCTTTGCTCATTTACATTTTGCTTCAATTAATAATAGGTACGCTGTGAGCAGGAGACGATTGAAATTGCATACATTTTTAAAATTATATTGATGTAAACTAAGTTAGAAGCATGAGTATCCAGCCATCTGCAGTTTAGTTTAATCAAACATTAAAAATGAAAATTTTATCCATCGTGTCTTGCTAAAAATGTTTGATACATGCACGACTGTGCTATTGAACTATTCAACCATGCGCTAACTTTATCATGATTTGCAAGAAATTTAAATTTTTTCGAATATCTTTTATATCATGGAAATTAGTTATTTTTTATTTCGTGCCTTTTTCTATTTATAAATTTTAATTTCATTTTTTTACGAATTTTGACATTTATTTATTTATTTATTATTTGTGATATACTATATTCGTATTTTATTTCATATTCAATTTTTTATTTCTGAATGGGAGTCGGCAATTTAATCTACATCGCTGCCTATTAATAACTTGAAAAATAACATACTGATATTCTTTATTATGCGCCGTTCATTGAAGTCTTTGAAAAAATTTGAATTTATGATTGAAATTTTTTTTGATTTTATAAAAAAGTTCTAAATTAACGAGTAATGTATCTCAGTCAAATAATCCCAGATTATAATTTAGTATTTATATTGACGCGAATATGATGATAAAAAGGAACCATGCACTTTGTATGAAAAAAGTTAATTTAATCCTAATAAAATAGCGTTTTCCGCGGCAAGGGCAGATTTAGGTAGGGAACTTATGTCAATTAAACTCATACATTCAAATCCGATATTTCTCTTAATTATTCAAGAAACTCCTACATTAGCTCTCTTTTTCCCTACAGATTCATTTGATTTTATATGCTCTTATGCTCAGCAATACAATGATACAATGAATTTTAGCGTTACAATGAATATATTCCATTGGCTTAACGAATTTAGTGATTGCCTCGTATAACGCTGAAATCAATCCTATGTATTCTTCATTTCAGCAATTGACAAAGCTTCATCGACGCTGGAGTATGCCAATCTAATCTTGATCTATAATCACATGGGACGCTTGTTACTGTATGATTTATAGCTAAGAAAACCACGTAATTCCAACCTTCATGTCTGTCACGAACTTGTCGTACATCAAGACATACCATTGACAATTTAAGTCCTCGTGTCCTCTGTTTTTGTCACTGAGAATTTTGTTTCGTGTTCAGATGTTTTTTTTAAGTATCGACATGTTTTTTCTAAAGTTTCATAGAGTAAAAAAAATTCTTATATGCATTGAGAAATGTTTCCCCGAGACTCAAACGCTACTCGAATTTAGATAAATTTGTGTTTCGCAGTTTCCTAACGGTAAGTTGAAAAATGAAACTGAAAATTCATTGTAAATTATAATTAATATAGTTTCAGAATCTGTAAAATCTGACTGGGTAACAACACAACCACAACAAAAATCCATCATTAAAACTGATTCCACACGATTCCATTGAAGGTAAAATGGCAATTACGTGATTTAAAATGTCATTATCATGTATAATTGAATACTTTAACAGGCATCAAGAAATTGGAAAAACGTTCCCATTGAACGTCGATTAGCTAAAATCTTAGGTGAAATAAGGTGAAAATTTAGTATCAGGTTTGAAATCACACGGAGCCAAATTGGGGGCCGATCTGATGGACGAATACGGAAGCGAGTACGGAATGCTCGTTGAGTAGCAATAATGGAATGGTTATTAGAAAAAGTACGCCTCAACAGCAAACGC